ATGACTTTATAAAACTGGTATAAAAAAGAGTATTGTTTAAGAACTGGTATCAAAGTCGAGCTATTGTATTGAAAATGTTGGAATGATACTCAGCCCTAGTGCCAAAACACATTTAGCTCAATTTCAAATTAAAAGAATGAGAACAGGTTTCACTCTATTGCACAGGCTATTTAAGGGACAGTTTGTTTCTCAGTGCATTGAAGGATATATGTTAAGCCATTCACATTCACCAAGAACTGGAAATCTGTGACTGGTTAGGGAGGTGAGTCCCACTCAAGACCTTAGAATGAGAGCGGTGATTTACACCCATAATTAAACTTGATTTAATATGTAGTATCCACAGCTCCAAAGTAGCCATTTTGGAAGTGATGTTTTATTCTGAGGGTCTGAGAATATTCATAATTAAAACATTAGATTAGATTTGGGGCATTGAGGACCAACTGAAGGCTGCCACCTGCAAACTACCCCGATGCATAGACCAGGCTCTGCCGTTACACCTCTGACCTAAAGCAATAAGTTTCAGTTAATGCAAACAAGTCCAAGACCAGTGTTTCCCTCTTATCTGATCCATTTCCAAGGTAACAAAACACAGGAATGTGGGGAGAACTTCCCTTATCTCCACATGGGAATGTGAAATGTGCTGTAAAACCTGGCTTGAGATTCACTCTCTCTTTTGGACAAAGAAATGCCTTTAGATTTGATCTGATTTATTCTTTCAAGCATGTAAAAACAGTTGATATGACAACACACATAATTTTACACATAATCTAATATCAATGTGCTTATACCTAGTACATGCTTGAATGGAGTAGGAAGAAGTCAGACTTATCCAGTCCTACCCCATGACATCATCTTATCATCATTGGTTTGCAAGCAGTAAATGATTCACTTTATACTAAAAAAAGATCATGTTAACATTCTTACACCACACAAGTAATATACTAAAGAATTATTACATAGTGTTAACATTCATACACCACACCCACAATGTTCCATCTGGTTAATCATTGAGCCTGTTCTTACATATATCTTGATTGACACATACCTTTATATTTATGTTTAAACTCATTATTATTCCATAGTTTTACCCCACTTATGGAAATACAAAATCTTTTTTTGGTTGTCCGTATAGCATGAATTTTTAAATTTAACTGACCCCTTAAATTGTATCCCCCTTCCCTTTCATTAAATAGTTTTGGAAATGTGAAGCTTTGTTAACCAAGAGTTGTGTGAAATATCAATAAGAAGGTTGAAAATGTTTGAGTCAAGCTAATGAATGGACATACCTAACCAGTCACTGCAAAGACTTCTTCCTTCAAGTTCTTATAACAGCAGAAATGATTCCAAACCTGAAGTTACAGTAATGTGAACCAAAATGTATAAGTGGAGGTGATACATGAGTGTTCCATGAAAACTAATACATGCACCATCACCAGAGACTGTTAATCCTGACATCCTAGGCCCCAGCACTGCTCAAACCAATTTACATAAGAAACTGTTCTTTTGATTTCTTTATTTTAATGACTGTGTATTGACAACTGATTGCTTTTGTCTTTTATTCTCAGTGTTAAAGTCTTTATAGAGTTAAATACTCTAAGTGTATTTCAGAATCAGAATCAGAATCAGCTTTATTGGCCAGGTGTGTCGGACACATGAGGAATTTGACTCTGGTACATCAGCTCTCAATGTGCATGGACATATCCCCATGCAAGGGGCAAGTAAACAGTAAACCAACATAAGGCTGTGTAATATAACAAAGCAGTATTAACAGCCATTTAAATGTGTTATTCCATCCAAATCTGGCGACAACAGATTTGTCTAACCTATAGTATGCGACAGTTATTTTTCCTCTCCGTACTTGTGATTAAACCCCAGAATTTAGATCTAGAATCCAGCTCAATTTTAACCAGAATAACCCTCTTTCACCATCATTAACAATAGATGGTTTGGTCAGTCATTCATTCAAAGCTTTCACAAATGTACCATGTGAATCGCCTCTTTCCTCCCAATCATTTTCCCTGTGTAAATACATTTATTTAGCTTATAACTGGCTTCGATATGTCATCTTTGGGTCTCTCATATTTCCAGTAAAGGGTCACTGAACTGGGTGAATTCACTGCTTTCAGACTTACTGACTTATTTACTCCAACTAATTGTTTAATGGAACTATAACCATCTTGTACCCTAATCTAATGAGGTATTTGAATATTCATTTTCAAGTGTAGTTATTTCCACTACAAATAGAATTTCCATGACGGAGTCACATTTCATGAAGTTTCTCAAGTGGAAAACAAAAGAGCTGGAAGGCTGTTGACCCAGAGGGGATTCTGGATACGTGACTCGGGAGTACGACTTTTACATTGAAGCAAAAAATCTCAACTCCTCCCGTGAGATCTTAGTGACACCACCACCCTGTCTCTTCTACTTTCTTAGTTAGGAAATATCCCTGCACTGAGCTCATAAAAATTACAGCGCTTCAAAGTGAGACACATGGGCTGCAGTCACTGTACAGACAGCTGGCTGCAAGGAATTCAACATAAAATGTTAAAGAGTTGATAGGAATCATTTCAGTCCAGGAATGGTAAATGAGATCATGGCTATCCAAACCATCAGGAGTAATTTCATGTATGGTAGGTCATAATTATAAGTAGGAGTGTAACAATGAATTGTGGAAAAATATATTGTGCCTGTCACAATCTGATAAAACAAAAACTGAGTCCATGGCAATTTACCTCCTGTTTGTTGTACAGTTACATTACATGTTTATTATTTCATTTAAGTGAAGATTTTTAATGCAACATTAAGAGTTGCTAACATCACCGAACGGCGTAAACAACCTTGACAGCCCCATAACTCATTTGATTGACAAATAATAATTTGGTGCCAAAGGAGGGCGGGACACCAGTGTAAATAAATGGTGTTTGAGCAGGTTTACTGAGCCAAGTTCTGTTTAAAATAAATTAAAAAATAAAATGGTTTATGGCTGTCATTTAGTCTGACCACAAAAAAGTGGAAAGCCGTGTTTGCACACTGGACGGACGCTCACCAACGCCAGCCGACCATCAGCTTGGTGTGTCACAGCCCTTAATCTAATAAACCTTCTTGTATTTTGTAAAATACTTTGCAAATGCAATTATGCCTGAAGTTACTGAAAAGCACAGACACAAGAGCAAAGATATAATACAATCTGCAAAAGGGGCAGTCCCTTAAATAGCAGCAGCTTAGGTTTCAAGTGTAAGTGCACCAAACAGAAGTAGCAGGGCATTAAAGACAAAATGTCAGGACAAGATCAGAGGAGCCAAGATGCACACATGGCTTTCATGCTACTATGGATTGACTCAATTTAAATAGTACATTGTTATTACAATGTTTTCTGTTAATTCCTGTTAGGTGAGGCCACATCAGTCAATACTGCGTCCCCCCTCCTTTCTATCAGGCTTCTATAGAAGACAGAAAGCAGACAGTGGTTGGAGAAGGTTGGAGGCTGTGACCTACCATTTCACAGTGGGAGGTCACAGCAGAACCGTCTAGAAGACTTGACACCAGACAGGAAGTAGCGTTAGCAAAGTGAGAAGTATCAAAGCTCCTTAGAGGTTTGATCCCATTATGTGATAACTGAATTTCATTTTGAGCTGCTCGTCTCCTAAATTTGAATATGGATGTTTTACCCTCCACATCACCCCCTGATTTCACTTTCAAAACTGTCGCACCGTGCTTTGTCCACGGGGACAGAGAGGGCAGCTAACCCGGCGGTACCTCCAGGCTGGTCAGGGCCAACCCACACACTAGTTAACTATACGTTATCGGTGGCATCTGAGGATATTTATATGACTTAACGTTAGTAAACCTACGTGACTCCGTATGAAGCCATTGGAGGCTCCACCCTTGAACACATGGTTTCATAGCTGCTGCTAGAGGCCACTACCATTCACTAGCTACAGTCTCACGTTACGTTAAATATTACAGACGTGTTGTGGGGAGGATTGTTTTGTCTGTGTATCTCGGTCGGTGAACATGCCGACTACTCATCTACGTTGGTCACTGAAATCAGATTTATGTCGGATGCTTTAAAACGTTGGCGAGTAACGTTACATCCGCTTCTTACATGCGTCATGTGAACGCCCGCTGTCCCACCTCATCATGAGACCAGTTAATAACCACACAACAGACAAACACTTCAAACCTACTTGTCGTTGGCTGTCTCGCTGCCGACCCCATCGCCCTTCGGCTGCTCGTCCGGCTCCACGACACCTTCGGGTTTCACGCAGTACAAGCGGGAAGGGACGATGCGGGGTGTCGGGCGGTGAGCAGCGGCATGGAGGGCCCTCAGATGAGTAGACACGGCTCTGGCATCAACGGAGGTGGTGCCGAAGGACCAGTGGCGGGTCGGTACCCAGGTCTTCTGTCTAGAACCGGACAAAGGATGCTTAAGCGTGGTTTCAAACAACACCTTCAGCACTGTCGGAAACCTAAAATGTAACATCTCAGTCCTGTCAGGCAGATTGAGAGAAGGTGGTGGTTCCAACTGTATCTTCGTTAAGAGACAATACAACGCCGAGTGTCAGGGAGACGATGACTCACTGGACGTTAGACATTCAATAATAAAGGAATATGCTCACGCCCCCTTCGCTCCCATTGGTGGAGCTGGAGGGACGTTGGGCCTACTTATAATTCACACGTTATGATACTTTTAGCTATGCAGCTTCTACATAACTTATTCACATTCAGACATATTTCTGATATGTTTTCCACTTCCGGTTACTCATTCATTCCATATCTAAGTGGTTGTTGCTAATCATTTTGGAGTGACTACATTTTTCCCATAGTTTAGTCTGTCGGGCAGAGCTTAAGGGAAGTTTTGGGGGGGCATTCGTATGCGCCACGAAGGTAAAACCCTGACAGACTAAACTCGGGTCATACAGTCACCACTATTCAAGCAACTCCCAACGTCTTCTAGTGCCTTCAAGCGTCACTTTCAGAAGTTGCCACGAATACACAGCTGCAAGATGTGGAAGTCAGCAAGCTGGATGCTGCTCCTCTTCGTCTGGGTTTGGGCCACAGCAGATGAGCTGGACGGCGAGGTCAAGATTGAAGTTTTGTTTAAGCCCGAGCAGTGCACTCCAAAGAGCAAACGAGGAGATCTGCTGAACGTTCATTACGATGGGTTCCTCGCCAAAGACGGTTCCCAGTTCTACTGCAGGTTGGCTGTTGGAGAAGACAAATAGCTGCAGCTGATAAGATAGATATTCTCTTCACAAGCTAACTGATGTTTTGGAAGTCATGCAAATTTCACCCAGACACTTTATTACTGTGTTATTATGCAGAGTCCAGTTGTCTCGAGTGATAACGGGTTTATCGTTGAATGCTATATGCTGAGGTCTGTTTGTATGTGTTGTAAAATTATAAAGCTTTTTATTTTAATGTGACATGTGTACACTTTATGATTAAATAGTTAGGTTCTCCTGAATATTAGGAATTGTAATTAATCCTTTTAAGGCCTATGTCAGCAGAGTATCCACAATGAAAGTCTGTCATGTATTCTCAGACTAGTCTCAGATGAATCTTAGGTGCCGTGCAAGTCCCATTGATATGAAAACTGAGTGACTAATAGGGTCTTGTGTCATTCTGTTTCAGTCGATCAGACAAAGCTGGGCACCCCCAGTGGTTTGTGCTGGGTGTAGGACAAATCATCAAGGGCCTTGATATTGGGATGATGGATATGTGTCCTGGAGAAAAACGAAAAATAACTGTTCCACCCGCCCTGGCATTTGGAGTAAAAGGCAAAGGTAGGCTAACTGCAAAATAGGGTTGTGTCTCTTACTAGAGCAGACAATATATGTTATATATGTTGTTACACATCCAAAGAGTGGCTACAGGCCCCTGAACCTTACATTCTTAGTACTGTACTACTAGCACGTGTGGTCACAGGAACATCAAGCTGTGTGCAGATGGTCTTGTAACCTTTACCTTGACCTTGCTTGGCAGTTACTTTCTTCCATATCTCCTCAGACAGTTCTCGTCAGTATATTCAGTGTGGCACAGAGCACCTTTCTCTATTGAAATAGGTTGAACCATTGATTGTAAGATTGAAGACACCTGTGATACTAAATGGAGACAATTGTTAATTTGAAATATCACTACAGACCACCTATTTATCAACACCTCTCAGGAGCACCAGTCATTTTGTTCAGGCCATTTTAGAAGATCTTTGTAGAAAGACAAACCAAAGACATGCAGGCAATGCATGACAAAAAGCATGGTGTACTGGAACCGACACTTTTGGCCTCATCTGTATGATTATGGCATTATAACTGCATGTGGTCTTAAAATGTGGATGTTCTCTTTTCTTCCTTCAATTCAAATAGATCCAGTGCCGCCCAATGCTACCGTAATCTTTGAGGTGGAGGTCTACACTGTGTCTAAGGGACCACGCACCATGGAGGCTTTCGGACAGATGGACCTTGATAAAGACAAAAGTCTCACAAAGGCCGAGGTAACTATAGTTTACAAGCGGTTAATTTTCATAAAAGTAGTGGCGACAGAAAAAGACAGAAGGGGCTTATCTTGCGAATACCTGGCCACTGATTTGTTCTGTTGTTTCATTATAAATAAAAACGAAATTTTTGCTATGACAGAAATCAGCCAGCTTCCCCAAAACATCTATAAAGATATATATTATTATTACCCTGATGTGTTCTAAAAATAAATTAAAAATACAAGATCGGTTTGAACCACAAAAACATTTATTTTACAAAGATGAACACTGAATTGAACAGAGAACGAGAGATGTGAATCCAGCTTAGGTCGAGCAGCAGATAGTTCCAGCTCGCCTCTTTTTGTCTTCCTGCCCCTGCTCTTCTTGACCTGAGGGAGGCCTGCAGCATCAGTCTGCAGCATCAGTCTGCAGCATCAGCCTGCACGTCTACCATCATACCTGCAGCCTGCGGTGTGCAGGGGAGGCGCTCTCTCCGCTGCATGTGGGGCATCACCAGTAACTCCCCCACCTCTTCCATGAAGAGCCTCCTCCTGTATGGTCTCTGCTCCTTCCAGGATGGCTCTATTGATGTCCACACCCTAACCCCAAAACATAAAACAAGACAATATGAATAAAGTATTCTTTCTCATAATACACATATTTTGTATAAAAAAAAATTGAAAAAAAAATCTGCATATATTTTAGACAAGACAATAAGAGTAAGAATTAAAAAATGTGTGCATAACATATGCGTAATGGCACCTACCTTATCAAGGTTGTACACTCCTCCTTTGCATCTGTTAGTCCTCGATGATGCGCGGTTTTCTCTTCTGTCGGTCGCTCACGCACATTCTTACCCGGCAGCAGGACGTAGGACACCAGGGCCTGGGTCCTTGTAAAGGCAAAAACTGATGAATATATGGCTCTCCCTCTTGTTTGGAGCCGGTGAGGGGGGAGCTCAGCCTTGTTGCGCCAAATTGTGAGCCAGGTTCCTCTTGAGCAGCTTCCCTGCCAGTTCACACGAAGTGGAAAAATTATCGCAGGTTATGACGTTCCCTTTGAGTCCTTCCGTCATCTCCAAGACGACCCTCACCCCCTGGTTCACTTCAGGATTGCCATCTACCTTCCCTGTGTATATCTACAGTCTCCATGCGTATGAGGTTTTGGTGTCACAGGCTGGCCAAATTTCTGTGCCATATTTGACTGGCTTTAGAGGCATGTACTGTCAGAGGCACTGGCCTCTGAAGGGGACCAGCTGCTCACTGACGCAGACGTCTTTGTCCAGGCTGAAGAGCATCGGCAGTCTGTGCGCCCACTTGTCCCAGACGGAAGAGCATCGGCTGTCTGTTCGTCCACTGGTCCGTCTTTGTCCAGGCTGAAGAGCATCGGCGGTCTGTGCGCCCACTTATCCCAGACTTGTCGAAAGGCAGACAGCTTGTCTTCGCGGCGTCTGGGTCGGGTTAGTTTATCATTAAACCACAGAGCCCTGGTGATTTGATGGAACCTGTTATTGGACACTGTCGCCCGGAAAACGCTCCGTCCAGACTTTTCGCTCCACAGGCTGAGGGTCGATTCGTGCTTCGTCCTGTAAACTCTCGACAAAATAACAGTCCCACGTAAGCCTACAGTTCCTGTAGGTCCAAATCTCGCCAGTCTGCCATCGGCCATATCCAATGCAGATTGGTCAAGGAAACAATATCTTGCAGGATGTCGTCCGTCAATAGCAGAGAAAAGCTGGATGCCGGGTCCCTGATGCGTGCAACAGCATAGCTCGTCGGTCCCGGGACCAGCCCTGTGACGGTTGGGACGTAACGAAGTGTATCCGAGTTAGTGGAAGACCAAAGTATTTTACCTTTTTTTTTAAGCCCACCCTTGGTCGTCTACTTTTCGCCGTCATCTTCATCATTCATCAGACCTTTCACCGAGCTGGTCCGATCCAACTTCTGAGTCCTCCCCGGTGTCAGTCTCAGTGTCATCCTCGCTCTCAGGGCGCATTATTACTTCCAGAGCTTCCACTGTGCTATAACGTTTGCCATCTCTTGGGTTCTCGCTTTTCATCTTGAATTAGCTATAACGCAGAATGTGGCTTTCTAAGAGAAAGACTTATGAAGTCGGGCGCGCACATGCACCTGCACATGCAGCATCAATTCAACATCAAAAGTGACAGACACATCATTTTATTATCAAGACACCCTTGCAGAAAACAGTAAAGATGATCCTTAATTTGAGGCCAGGGTTTGAAAATGGTCTGACGTCGCCATCTGCTGGCCAACTATAAAAACTGCAAGTTGACAGCCTCTGCTCGAAGATCAAGCACAGAACAGAAATGATGTCTTAAAGCCAGATTTAGTTGTTTTTTTTTTATCAAGATGACATGGTTAAGTAATGTTTTGCAAGGTATGCTTATTTGCTTTTATCATAGGGGATGGCTGAGCAGGTCATTGCCACTCTCTTGTGTCTATATTAGTATGGCATAATACCTGGGGGCCAGTTGGGTGGCAACTGATGATTTGATGTGGCAACCCCTAACAGGAGCAGCCAAAAGAAGAAGAAGAAGAAGTAGAAATGATAAGTTACGGGTACAACAGGAGCTTGTTATGTCAGAGCAGTGTTGTAAAAGTGAAATGCACGTCTGTTAATTGTTCTATATATGTTTCTCCTTTTCCAGGTAAAACAATATTTGAAACTGGAGTATGAAAAAGGAGGGAAACCACGTGATGATCCTTTCTATGAGAAGATGATAGGTGATATATTCCACAAGAATGACCAAGACAGAGATGGACTGATCAGTGCGAAGGAATATAATGTTTTTAAACACGATGAGCTCTAGTGTCAGAAATCGTTGATCCTGGTCAATTCTTAGTTTAAATACTTTGAATAATTAGAAAGAAATCATGGATAGCTAAAGGGAAGCTCCACCCTAAGATAAGATTAATACCAAGTATTAAACTATGCAAGTAAGAACATCTGCAGCACCTGTGAAATCATTTATTTTTGTGCAAACACCACTAAATTTTTGCATTTGAAATGTTTTATTCTTGTCTTTTTGTAAACATTCCTTCTATTTGCAGCACAATACACAAACCGCAATTTGCCCAATCTTGTAGAATCAGTGGCTTGGAAACTAGTTTGACTGTCGTGAGAACTGAGACAGATTTACGTAAGCAGAAATAAGAATAAACCACTCAAAATAATCCACCTCCTTGTCAATGTTCTACCCGTTAATCTACAGTGAACTAACATATAAGTAATGAAATGTGGCTGTGATGGAGCTGTTAATGTAATAATTAATGATGGTAAGGTGTTGTGGTTTGTCGGCATGTTTACAAGTTTTGCGACATCTTTTTTTTGGGGTCAAAATCACGACGGTCTTTGTATGTTCCATGTACTGTAATTCAGGTTTTTCACCTTGGATTCATGGGCTTTTTGCTGAGGAAAATGGTAAATGGACTGTATTTATATAGCACATTGTTCCACAGTGTGTTGCACTGGCCAAAGTGCTTTACAGGAGATGATACACCATTCACCCATTCACACAACAATGACCACAAAAAAGACATTTTACACGTGCAGTTCACTTCCAGTTTAGGTGGATGTAACTGACAAACGTGATAATATGCTTCTTAGTGTTATGTTATTTTTCTATGATTTTCTGACCTTAAATGAGGTTGACTGTCACATGTGACAGGCCCATTCGGATGCGAATGGTTTCAGTGTATGTTCATTAATAAATGCATTTTATTTTGTCATCTTCAGGTCTGTTACTGTAGCAGTTTCCCTCCACTGTGCTGATTGCACATACGTAAGTGTGCCACTAAAGGGTGCACACGTTGCTCTGCCAATAAGATAAAGCTGTGTATTTGAACGAGATATACAGTAAGTTACCCTGTAGGGGTCAGACAGAGGTTTGTGGGATGGACTCATGCCTGTCCTGAACTGGAGGTACCACTTAAATACACACAAAACGCTTTAAGAGTAGTTTTGCTATTAAAATGATCTACTAATCTATCTTTACATCCTAGGATCTTTGAGTAGCAAACAAATCAAGGCCAGGTTTTTCTCTCATTCCAAGTTGAAAGCACATTAAATGGGTGGATTATTATTAATTCCTTGGCGATAAAATATTGAAAAGGATAGAATGGACTCGACCTGAGTTGCCTCACAGCAAGAAGGTTCTGAGTTCAAGCCTTTCTGTGTGGAGCTGGCATGTTCTCCCTGTACCCGTGTGTGCTTCCTCCCACAGTCCAAAGACGTGCGGCTTAGGTTGATTGATGACTCTAAATTGCCCGTGAGTGTGTGTGGTTGTTCATCTACATGTCAGCCCTGTGAA